ATTCTATGGAGTCCCAAGAGTCAGACACGACTTGTCTACTGAGCACACATCCACATTAACTGCCCCACTGTGACTGTGCATGGGTGCCATTATTTGTGGTCCCTTATAGTTTCTTGTATCCTATTGCTGGAATTGACGTCTGTCCAGGTGCAAGCACTCAGGTCAAGGGTCCCAGGTTTCAGCCTGTGTCACCCCAACCCTTCTCTCCTGAAACAGGTCACAAACTCTCATGTGAGAGGTGCCCCCTCTATACCGGAAGGGAAGGAGCAGCCTTATTGCCAAAGACAAAAGCTCACCAAGAAGAATCTGAACCAACAAGCTTTGCAGTTTCCCCCAGTTTACTTGCCTACCTCATATTCCTTAACCTGTCATGTTCCTCCATGATTCTTCATGCTTCATCAAACCTAATGACAAAACAAAAACAAACACAAAACACAGGCCTGCTTCTTTAGGTCTTCATCTCCTTATCAAGACTTTCATGTCATGTAAGTGAAGTGAAAGTCGCTCAGTCTGACTTTTTGCAACCCCATGGGCTGTAGGATGCCAGCCTCCTCCGTCCATGGAATTCTCCAGGCAAGAGTACTGGAGTGGGTAGCTGAAAACTTTATATAAATTTGTGTGCTTTTCTCCTGTTCGTTTGTCTATCACTTCACTTTTTCAGACCTGAGAATGAGGAAAACTTTTTCCTCTGCTACAAGAGAACACTTCAAGTGGAGAATGAGGAACAGTCATTTGGCCAGAAAAGACTACAAAATAGTATGCTGGAATGTTAACTACTACACATAAGTTGCCAAAAATAGTATCACCGGTAGTGAGACAAGCATCATACACCCCTGATACTGCACTGAGGAAAGACATGGTATCATTTTTGTGGTATTGTCTGCCAAAAACATATAATCTGAATCCAATCATGAAGCAAAATCAAACCTAAATTAAAGAGCATTCTACAGAATGCAGATTGAAGGCAGGAGAAGGGGACAACAGAGGATGAGATGGCTGGAGGGCATTACTGACTCAGTGGACATGAGTTTGAGCGAGCTCCGGGAGATGGTGAAGGACAGGAAAGCCTGGCATGCTATCCTCCATGGGGTCACAGAGTCCGACACAACTGAGTGACTGAACAACAATTACAGAGTAACTAGAAGAATCCTTCAAAATATCAAGGAAAAGAAAGTCTGAGAAACTTTTCCAAGTTAAATGGAGCTTTTCTTTTCTTTTCCATTTTTGGCACCACACAGCTGGCAGGATCTTAGTTCCCCCAACCAAGGACTGAACCTGGACCCCCAGCAGTGAAAGTTCCAAGTCCTAACCATTGGACTGCCGGGGAATTCCATGTCCATACATATATTTCATATACATCTCCTTCTGATTTAGGTGCATTTACATGGGTTTGTCACTTGCGACCAGTGGAGAGAACCCTGCAGCACTAGAGGGCAGGGACCCTGCTGTCCTCACTTTGTACCCCCATCTCTAGAATACTTGTAGCCACTGCTGGGATTTCATCCACATCAGCTGAAAGGATGAGGGTATCTGTGCTGCTCCTAAAGAACAGAGGGAGTCTACTGAATCCAGGAGTTACGACCCAATTCATAATACACTTACCAAGCACCCACATAGTGCACGAAGGGCTGCTCTAAGTCCCAAAGTAAACATGGCAGTTTCCCAAACCTAATCTTAAAGGGACCACAAAAGCTCTGTTTGACAGCAACATGAAAGAACTATAAAGTTACATTAACTAATTTCAGAAAACCAAGTTTACAAAGTTCAATATGATATTTCACTTCAATCTTTCACTCCTGTGAATACAGAAGGACAATTGCTGAATATGCAATTTACTTTTCTTCAAGGGGCTATTTATTGCCTATTTTTTTATTTTACAGCAAACTTAAAAGTATTCATTTTTCACAAATGGAAAGTGGAAATCAAGGTATCTCTCAAATGTATATGCTGAACCAAAGTTCTGTTTTCAGAGTTCAGCAGTCAATCATGATTTTGGTCCAGGGCCACTAGTCCATGATTTCAAATAGTTGATGATCCTGGCAGTAACTGGAACAAAATCTTCTCTATATGTGACAATCGTTTCCACATAAAAGCCTTTTGGGGGCTCAGATAGTTCGTTTCTTGAGGCATCCTTTTGTTCTAATTTATCACCTTAAAAAAGAAAAAGAAAAAAGGAACATCTGCATTATTAACTTTTATCTTTTTTTATTAAAGCATAGTTGATCACTAACTTTTAACTATACAACAGTCATTAGAATTATTAGTAGAGTCTTGAAAATTAAACTAAGGTAAGAATTACCCCGCCCCATCAGATTCCTGACACCATTTTCTGTTAAAAGAAATTTTTAAAATAATTTTTTTAAAAAATGACCACTACAGGGAACTTCCCTGGTAGTCCATACAGTAAGACTCGGAGTTCCCAATGCAGGGGTCCCATTTCAATCCCTAATCAGGGAACTAGATCCCACATGCCACAACCAAGACACCCGCAGTCAATAAATAAATGTGTTTTGTTTGTTTTTTTAATGACCACTACAGAGATAAATGTTTTAAAACGCTCAATACTGGATGTGTGTACTTTCAGGCCACTGGTAATTTTCAACACCAAACGAAATCATCTGCACAGTTTTAACATTAAAAGCTTTACTGAAATATATTTTTCATATACACATTTAATTCACTTAAAATATATAATTCAGTAGTTTTTAGTCTTTTCAGATCTGTGCAATCAACACCAAATAAAGTTTAGAGTATCAGACACAAAAAAGAAAACCCTGATTTTTTTTAGCAGTCACTCCCCACCAACTCTCGCCTTCAGCCCCAGGCAACCCCTACTCTGGAGGAAACTAGATTTACAGCCCATTTCTGAAAGCTGGAGTATTTCCTCTTTGGTAGGGAATCTACTGGAAAGATTTCAATACTCTTCGGCAGGCCCAAGTCCTGAAATCGTTTGCTCGCTGAATGGGAGGAGGACTGATGCTATAGGAGCATCGCCTCTTTAAACCACCCTCTAGTGTCTTTTGACATTTCACCGGGAAGCTCGCAGATTCTTCAAATTCTGAGGACAGGGATGGCCTCATTCAATAACTCCGCAGGGTCGGGGGAAAAGACTCTAAAAGGCCTTTCCTGCATGGTTCCATGATACCGAGCAGCTCTAAACAGTCGCCCCGGCGCTCTGTAGAATAAACCTGGGGAAGCAGCACCGCGAAGCCACTTCCGCTAACAGCGCGGACACGGCCCAAGCAAGGCCGCGCGTCTGCGAAGGTCCTGCCCGAGAGCCGTACCTGGCTGCTTGCTCTTTTTCTGACTCAAGAAAATCAAGGAGCCCAGCAGGGTCCAGGCGCCCAGTCCGTAAACGACTGACATCCGCCGGTACCAACTAAGAGCTTGTGCCGGCCGCATGACGCCGCCGCCTAGACTCCACTCCTCAGAGTCTCGGGTGAAGGCGGGCCTTCCGGGCTACGTCACCGCCGCCGCCTCCAATGAAAAGCCGCTCTGGACAGCCGCTTCCGGCGCTAGCCCCCGGTGCATCTTGGGGCGTGTAGTACGGACGTCCCGCCCGGAAAGAACTCAGGAGGTGTGGTGCTGGGCTCGGGACTTCCGTCTTTTGCCTGGAACCCACGACCTTGCCTTCCACGTGACGGGGCCCTATGACAGCATCTCTCAAGCAGACCTCTCAGTTCAATCGCTCAGTCGTATCCGACTCTTTGCGACGCCGTGGACAGCAGCACGCCAGCCTTCCCTGTCCATCACGATCTTCCGGACCTTGCTCAGACTCATGTCCATCCACTCGGTGATGCCATCCAACCATCTCATCCTCTGTCGTCCCCTTCTCATCCTGCCTCAATCTTTCCCAGCATCAGGGTCTTTTCCAGTGAGTTAGTTATTTGCATCAGGTGGCCAAAGTATTGGAGCTTGCATAATTCTAACGGCATGCTTTACAAAGGCTTGGCACTTGTTTTGGGGTCCCCCCCCCCTTTTTTTTGGATCCCTTAGCTTGTGGGATCTTAATTTCCTGACCAGAGATGAATCCAAAACCCCTGCACTGGAAGCAGAACCTTAATTACTGGACTGCCAAGGAAACCCCCTGGCACTTCTTATTTTTATCGGAATATAGTTGATTTACAGTGCGGTTGTTTCAGGTGTACAGCAAAGTTAATCAGTTTACATATACATAGATCCCCTCTTTTTTAGATTCTTTCCCATATAGGTCATTACAGAGTATTGAGTAAAGTTTCTCTATAGATTAGGTCCTTATAGATGTGCTATAGATGCTATAGCTAATCTGTGCCATAGATTAGGTCCTTATTACTCCTGGAAATTAACAGAGGAGTCCAACAAAAGAAATTCCTGGATGACAGTTGTCACAGCAGTTGTGTGTTAGTTGCTCAGTCATCTCTGACTCTTTGCAACCCCATGGATTGTGTAGCCCTCCAGGCTCTTCTGTCCATGGGATTCTCCAGGCAAGAATACCGGAGTGGGTTACCATGCCTCCTCCAGGGGATCTTCTGGACCCAGGGATCAAACCCAGGTCTCCTGCATCCTAACAGATTCTTTACCATCTTAGCCACTGGGGTCTATGTTAGAAGGAGACATAACCTCAAAACAAGAATGAATTCCACTGGGTAGAACAGCTGGAATTTTTATAATTGAGGTAACATTGGTTTATAACATGTTTCACATGTACATTATAATTCAAGTTCTGTATGCATTGCAGTGACCTCACTACCACAATCCCTTGTTTCCCTCCATCACAGTATAACAGACCCCCCTTAATCCATTTCACCCTTGCCCATCCCTCCTCCACTGGTAACCACCAATCTGTTCTCTGTATCTCAGGTGAGGGAGGGACAGTGCAACTCCATATCACTCGGCCTCAACAGCTGCACATATTTCTTAGTTTCCTTATCTGTTAATATTTGGACAGTAAATGAAGATTAAGTTCAGGAATTACTTGTTGGAGAATTTACATAAAACATACTCAAGACTTACACACAGACTTCAGAAATAAAATATGTATTAGCATTATTTTAACCAGTGCTTTCTTCAGATTTATTTCCTTTCTGATCATTATGATTTTCATGTAAGCAAGCTGCCAAAATACATTAGCTCTGATTTTATACAGACTCTAAAAGTTAGGATACAAAAAGCATATAAACCTCTACCAATATGAAAATGTTTATGACCTTATAATTTTATGGAGTAAGAAAAGGGCACAGATAAGGAATACAAATAAATTAAAATCTAAAGAATTACTAACACTTCCTTTGATTATTTATTAAAATCCACCAGCAAAGTAAAAGGAATGTTAAGCCTTTATAAAAAATTGTGAACACAAAGTGACAGTGTTTTCTTCCATTTCCTGACTATATCCTTAGCTCAACAAGCACTGGAGACAGCCAGCTTCTTCAGATGGTCCATGAACACCTGCAGGCTAACGTCATCAGTGAGGATGGGCGCTCCCGTTTCCTGAAATAAAATGACAAGGGTTTACTGGCAGGTACCTTAAAAGCTGGTTAGAATCCATGAATTAGGGACTTTCCCCTCAGGAAACTAGAAGTGCTGTCCCTCTGCCAAGAATATTCCTGCCACCCATCCCCATCCCCTATGGAGCTAACTAATTTTTTCAAGTGAAGCATAGTTTCCTCACAAAACCCTCCCTAATCCACTCGGACCTGGCCATCCCTGCCACTACACAGTTCTGAGCACATGCTCTCTTACTTCGTCCTCTGTGTAATTCTCAGGACTCCTCCAGGGCTGGCTCCCACATGACAGAATTCAAAAGAGCAACAAACTCACCATTAGGAGTAAGAAACGTTAACATCCTCTCTCAAAAACTTATAGAACTATACAGATAATCAGCAGGGGTATATAAGAATTCAATATCACCATCAACTAACAAGACCTAGCTGACATTTATAGAACAATCTGTAAATCTATCCAACAGCAGAATACCCAATCAAGTAACCATGGAACATATAGGCCAAACAGACCATATCTTGGGCCATAAAACAAACCATCAAATTTTTTAAAAACTGAAATAATGCAAGGTATATTGTTTAACCACAATGGAATCAAAATAAAATCAATAACTAAAGACAAAAAGGAAATCTCTGGAAACTAAACAACACTTACAATCCAAAAGTCAAAAAAGAACTCTCAAAGGAAATTTTTTAAAATGTATCAAACTGAATGAAAACAAGAATACAACAATCAAAACTTGTGTGACATAGCAAAAGCAGTGCTGCAAAGGGATTTAGAAGCACTAAATGCATATAGTGAAGAAGAGAAAAGTCTCAAATCAATAACTTAAACTCCTACCTCAAGAACCTAGAAAATGAAGGATGTAAAACCACAGCAAGCAGAAGAAAATAAAGATTAGAGCAGAAATCAATGACCCAGAAAATAGATAAGAGGACAAGAAAAGGAAATAACAGGTATTCAGATTGGAAAAGAAGAAATAAACTGCTCCTACTTGCAGAAGTCTGTAAAAAATCCCAAGGAATCTACCAAAAAACTCTCAAAAGTAGTAACTGACTCAGGAAGGTCACAGGATACAAGTCTACAAAAATAACTTTATGTTATGGTTGCTTACTTATGATTCTTTGACTTTATGATGGCGTAAAAGCAATACTCATTCAGTAGAAATCATACACTACATTTTACATTTTGAGTTTTGGTCTCTTTTCAGGCTAGTGATACACAGCCCTAGTCTCCTGTGATGCTGGGCAGCTCCCAGTCAGCCACACTGATCACATGGGTGAACAACCAAGACACTTACAACCATTCTGACCCAGACAACTGCTCTGCTTTTCACTTTCAGTTCAGCATTTAATAAGTTTCATGAGATACTCAATACGTTTTGTGTGATCATAAAATATGTTTTGTGTTAAGATGGTTTTGCCTCACTATAGGCTGATATAAGTGCTCTGAGCATATTTAAGGTAGGCCAGGCTAAGCTATGATGTTTGGCAGGTTAGGTGTATTAAATGCAATTTCAACTTATGATGCATTTGTTCACGTGTAATACCATAGTAAGTTAAAAGACCTGTACTAGCAACGAACAACTGGACATTGAAATTAAAAATACAGTATCACTAAGAGTCACTCAAGAAAAAAACAACAACAAAAACTGATGAAAGAAATAAAAACAGACTTAATAAATGGAGAGACATACTGAGTTCACAGACAGGAAACCTCAATAAAGGTGCCAACTCTCCCCAAGTTGACAGAGAGGTTCAATGCAATTCTTACCAATCTTCCAGCAAGATTTTTAAAAGATAGATACAAGATTATTGTACAACTCATATGGAAATGCAAAGAAATCAGAATAGTTAAGGAAGTTTTGAAAAAAAAGTGACAGAAACCAATCTACCTGATTTCAAAACTTACTATGCAGCTACAATAACCAAGACTGTATGGTGTTAGTAGAGAGACAGAAACAGAGGTCAACAGGGCAGAACAGAAGCCCCAGAAGTGGACTCACACAAATATGCCCAAATAATCTCTGACACAGATGCAAAAGCAATAAATGGAAGAAAGGTAGCCTTTTCAAGTAATGGTACTCGAACAATTGGACACCTATAAACAAAAAATAAACCTAAGAATCCCATCTCATACAAAAACTAACTCAAAATGGATCACAGACTGAAATGCAAATTTAAAGTAAAAAAAGTCACATGAGATATTTGGAATCTAGGGTAAGACAAAGATTTCCTGACATCAAAAACACAATCCATTAAAAAAAAAAAATGCACTTCATAGAAATAACTTTTGCTTTGCAAAGACCCTGTGAAGAGAATGTATACACAAACCAGAAGCAAGAGAAAACATATGCAAACCATGAATCTGACAAAAGATTAGCATCAAGAATATATAACTCTCAAAACTCAATCGTTTAAAAAAAAAATCCAATTAAAACATAGACAAAAGACACAGACTTCACTGAAGACACACAGATGAGAAAGCACCAAAAAAGATGTTCAACATCACTATTAGGAAAATGTAAATCAAATCCACAATGTTATACCACTCACATCTGTCAGAATAGCTAAAATAAGAATAATGACAACATCATATGCAGACAAGGATAGAAACGATGCAGCTGGGGATATAAAAGGAGACAGTCACTCTGGAAAAAGAGTACGGCAGTTTCTTTAACAACTGTTTAACTATCAGCCAACTCAACTAATGAACTCCTAGGCATTTATTGCAGAGAAATGAAGACTTAACGTTCAAGAAACTTGTACAAGAATGTTTACAGCAGCTTTATTCCTTATGGCCAGAAACTGTGAACACCACAGCTGTCCTTCATGGGTGAATGATAAACTGCAGTATGTCTACACCATGGAACACTACTCAACCAACAAAGGAGCAAATTATCCACACATCCAACAACCTGGATCTCTAGATAAGCACGCTGAGGGGAGAAAGGCCAATCCCCCAAGATTATGTGCCATGTGGTTTCATATACGTTCACTGATTCCCAATAGTTTCTGCTATACAGCAAAGTGATTCAGCTATAAATACATATGTAAATATATTCTTTTTCACAGTCTTTTCCATTATAGTTTATTACAGGATGTTGAATATAGTTCCCTGTGGAACCTTTTTCATGAGAAAATTACAGAAATGGAAACCAGAAGATGAGCTGCCAGGTGTTGGGGAAAGGGTGGAGGCAGGAAGGACACGAGTGTCACTATAAAAGGCAACACAAGAGATCCCTGTGGTGATGGAAATGCGTATCTTGACCTCATCAATGTCCATGTCCTGGTTATGATATTGTTACAGCTCTGCAAGATGTTACCACTGGGGGAACTGGGTTAAGGTATAGGGGATCTCTCTGTGTTCTTACAAGTGCATATAAATTTTACAATTACCACCCCCAAGAATTCTCTAAGAATGTACAATGAAAAACAAGATTCATTTGAGGGAGACATAAATGCTGGGAACAATCAAATAAAGAAGGAAGCCGGTGCTGAGAAGTGAAGAGATGTGAGGAGTGGTGAGCAGAGGCAGAGGGAAGACAGAGCAAGAAGCGGAGGGCTGGGGGAGATGCTGTGTGTTTCTGAGCGGAGCACATGGAGGTCACAGTTCAGCGTCCAGTCCTTTGGCCTGATCCCAGCGGACTCCACTGTGCACTGCCGAAGCGGATCCACATGTCTCCCCGCCTCCAGCCTACACAGTAGACTCCAGTCCCCTCCTTATCCACAGTGGACAGGTTCCAAGACTCCACTGCCTGAAACCACACACCAGTAGAATGGAACCATGCATATACTAAGGTTTTCCTATACAGGTGTTAACAGACAGGTGGTGTGGATACACCAGACAAAGAGAACACAGGTGGGAGGGAACAGGAAGGTGTGAGGCTTCATCAGGCTACTCAGAATGGTGTGTAATCAAAAGTCATGAATTATTATTTCTGACCACTTTCTCAGGTAACTTAAGCCTTATAAACTGAAAATGTTGGTAATGTAAAATTCCTATATTATTCAAAGTTTTTTTCCAAGCAAAACACCCAAATTACTATCTCTGGGCCAAAAGGGATTCAATCTGTAGCATTTAATTTTCTCACTTGGGTTTTTTTTTTTTGGTCACACCATTGTGGCTTGCAGGATCTTAGTTCTAGGGCAGGGCTCGAACCCTGAGCCATGGCAGTGAAAGCACCAAATCCTAACCACTGTACCGCCAGAGAATCCTCCAATTTGTAGAATTTAAAAGCAAAATTTTAAAAAAGTAGCCTGGCCCCTCCTCAAATTCCTGACAGTTACTCACCTGTCCCCAAGCATACAGGTTATTGTGTGTCTGAGACGGATTCACTTTGGACAAAAGAAATCGAGCCTTAAAAAAAAAAAAAAAGTAGATTTAAAGATTAAAATGGCATTAATATTAGTTTAACAGGAAAAAAAGGTCTTTTTTTTTTTTTTTTGGATAAATTAGAAGCTTTTTTTACCACACGGGAACCCGTTTGTTCAGTTTATGCCCAAAGGCTCTCCATTCACTGGGCTCCTGAAACACGAGGTGTATTTTACTCTGTTAATCCTCTGCTTTCCAAACCAGCATATTCTGACCACTCATTTATAAAGAAGTCACACTTGGAAGCTGACTTGCCTGTTGATTTTGGTCACCACGTAATACTGACCAGGCTGTGTGGATTTAGAGCCTTCAGGAGGCATCGTGCACGAGGCCGGCAGAGCAGCAGGCCAAGCTGGCTCACCTGGCTGCCCCCATGCTCCGTGTGGATGTACCGCGGCATCGGGAACCGCGCCTGCAGGATCTCCTGTGCGTCATCCAGAGGTGCCTGTAGGAGGTGCTTGAAGTTTTCATACTCGGGCATGTCCTGGTAGCCTGCCTTCCGCCACTGGGCGATGGTCTGCAGCAAACAGACAAATCACAACTTGTTGTGGAGATCCTGTAATGACAGTCTTACGATGGCCCTGACATTCTAACACTCCACCCAGGACCTGTTTCTAGTGACAAGGTCTTAAGTCAGGAAAGATGGGTTGCAGAGGGGAGCCAAGTAGATCTGACCAGGATACTCCCATCTGAAAAAAGCCTCAGGTTATAAAACGCCTGTTAGTATTAGAAAACCATTTCTTCCTTGCAGGACATTTGAAATCACTTGTAATATACAGACACCAGACAGTCAAGTCAGTTGTTAAAAAGAAATGAACTGAAGGTAAAGAATGTATCAATATATAATAGAAAAAAAGAAAACATCCTTGAACATAGAGGATTTTCTTTTGAGGAATCCCTCCTTTCCTTAGGGCACAAACCTCTCTGAGAAAGAAATGAACACCATCCACAGTCATCCTTGAGAACCACAGACCTGGCATAAGGTTCACTGGGCCATGTTATCTCAGATAAACACTCTAGTCCCAAACTCAGCAGTGTTTACTAGTGACTCTAATGCAACTCCGAAAGGACAGTGTGAATATAAAAAGTTCACTGAGAAAAAGTAAACTGATTTTGTCTGAAAACTCAGAAAGCAATCAATCATAGTGATTTAAAAGGACCACCTAAAAAAAACTAAACTGAAGACAGAACTATCATATATGACCACTCCTGGGCATATACCTGAAAGAACAAAAACACTAATTCAAAAGATATGTGCACCCCAATGTTCAGAGCACACTTCTTACAATTTCCCAGATATGGAAGCAACCTAAGTGTCCATCAACAGAACAATGGATAAAGAAAACATGGGATATATACACAACAGAATACTACTCAGCCCTAAAAAAAGAACAAAATTTGTCATTTGCAACAACATGGATAGACTTGGAGGGCATTATGCTAGTGAAATAAGTCAGAGAGAGAAAGACAAATACTCAAATCACCTCACTTATATGTGGAATCTGAAAAATACAACAAATTAGTGAGCATAACGAAAGAGAAACAGACACACAGATCTAGGGAACAAGCTAGCGATTACCCAGTGGGAGAAGGAAGGGGCAGGATAGAGCTCAAGGATGTATTTAACAATGTGAAAAAAGTAACATTTAAAAATTGTATAAAAAAATTTTAAAAATGTAAAAGGACCACCTGAGATTTACTTATAGCAAGTAATATTGAAATTATTATTTTTAATTATTAAGTATACAAATACCATAACCAAGGTCTTACCTCACCAAGATAAATGACAATTTGGAAGAAAGTGTCCATGAGTAGAATTCTGTCAGCAAGAATGCTGCTGCTGTCCAGGAGCACGGGCTGCAACACAGGGAAAGAACAACATGGGTCTTCCCTTGGTGCCCACATGGCCACTTGCCAGCCCCCGGCCCAGGGCCAACCCCAACCCAGAGCCAACCACCCCCCTCCCCCCGGGCAGCTACAGGGCTGAATATACACCGCAGGGAGGTTCACTCCTTCTTCGTGCCAAGTTCCCACTTTCTATTCCAACTGGGCAGCTCTAGGTTTCAACTTTGTACAAAAAAGAGATTTAAATAATCTCCCATCAACTGGGAAGCAAGATGAATGTTATCTTCTGCTCTAAGAACCAGAAATAATTCCAAATTTTGTTTTGTACTAGAAATAAATTCTATCAGAGACACATTTCTCACTAATCTACTGCAGTAGATGACAGAGAACTACAATGCCTACGTGAAAAAGAACATCCTTTAATATCAGATTTAAAGTTCACTTAACAATATATTTATGACTTTTATTTCAATAATAAACTTAAACTCACTAAGGAAAATCTGAAAATTTCTACTAAAGAACAACAAATATTGACATTGTGGTTTATTTCTTTATAGTTTTTCATTCCTGGTGGCTTTTTAAAAATCACCTTTAATCTAACATAAGGATTTACTTTTTGTTACTTTGTGAATATTTCTGATTACTTAACTTCCCTAATATTGAACATCTGGACTGCTTTCTAATTTTATGCATCCTGTGACTTTTTCCTATGCATGTTATTTTTTTTTAATACTCAGAAATGCTGCTAAGTTACTATAAAGACTCAAAGATGTCTCTCTTATAGTTTTGCTCTAAGAGTGAACTTGCTAGAGTAAAAGCACTCCGTATCAGGCGATTCCTAGTGCCCAGGGCCCTTACCTCTGGGGGCCCGTGGAAGGAGTAGGAATACAGGATGGGCTGGATCATGATGAGGGACTGGGTGAGGTCCTGCCGGGCAAAGTGGTGCCGATAATACGAAGACTCGTCAGGGCTGTTGTTGAAGACTTGAAGGAATGGAGACCTTCTAAGATGGAACATGAACTGCATTTACAAAGAAAAAAGAACAAAGCATACAGCTGTCACCTTCCTAGACCCCCAGAGAGCAGAACTGCCACCGCCCAGAGACAGGAGAACCAGCCCTCAGGACCAAGGCCTCCGGGCGCGGTGAGTTGAGGCGGGGATGGCAGCCCAGGGCCGGGGAACAGGGAGGGGAGAGCTGAAAGATGACCGTTCTTTCCTGAGGTGAAAGTGGCCGAGATTCGCTGCTCAACAATCGAACATACTCAACACTTCCGAACTGCACACTTAAAAATGGGTGAGAGGGTCAATCGTATGCTGTGGGGTTTTCACTACAATTAGAAATAAACATTTCTAAAAAAGAGGGGGTTCTCTGGGTGGGAGTTTCCACATGGAAGGGCCAAGGCGGAGAAGCTTGTCTTCTTGTGGGCCTCCTTCTAGCCTCAACGGCTCAGACACAGGCCGGACAGACACACGTCAGAACCACACAGCCAGCCCATCCAGTAAGCTGGGCTCTCGAGCCTCCCTGCAGCCCAAGAGTCCAAGCTACACAAGCTAAAGACTGAAATCTAGGTCCACTCACCAAACCGAGTATCTGATAAGGTAATACCCGTTTGTGTACCAAAGTCCTGACAAGTTCCCTTAAAAATGAAAGTCTGCTTCTTCCTACTTATTCCTCACTAAGGCATCCCTGAGGGAAGGAGGAAAACCTTGAGCTTGCCTCCCGTTCTGGGGAAGCTGCATCTGTGAGGGGCCCGATCCACACACCCCAGGCCCGGCTACGGGGTGGCTCCCAGCCACCAAACGAAACAGGCGCCTGGCCCTCAGCAAACAGCGAATCAAAGATCATGCCACAGCCTCACAGCAATGGGCCTGTTCTGCCTTCTCCCCAACGTCTGTGCACCTGCTCTCTGGGTGTCCCTTTTGTCTCCCAAGGGGCTCAGGTACCAGCTGACCTTGACCTGAACGACCTTCATCACCTACAGATGAAAGTCTCCAAACAAACGGAGTCTTCAGTTTACCCCGAGAGCAGTGAGTTTTATGTATATGACTTTCTTCTTCTTTTGTTATTTTAACAACAGGTATTACTTACCTGAGGGTATAGAGAGAAGGAATCTGATAACCTAAATGACACAGGGTCTTCTTTGTTATACTGTCCAAACTTTTGACACTGGTGCGAGAAAACAGGAAAAAAATAACAACAAAGTGAGTTACCTGAAAACTCCTGGGAAAAGGGCCACGCCCCACCCTCACCTCCGCCCCTTCCTGCTCAGCCCAGTGCTGCACCCAACACCTGTGCGGGGAAGGGGGGAGATCTGGGAGGGGCTGGAGCCCCCCCGTCCTAACAGCTCCCATGCAGGGCCAACTGGGAGGGGCTCGAAGAGGCATCCCAGGCGACTTTTCCATAGGAAAACCTCCAGGACCAAGATAACCTAACATCCTCTCTCTCTACCACTCCGTTGTCCTCTCACAGCCAAATTTATTAATGTTTTCTCTTCCTGCTCTATTTCCTCTTCATTTCACACACCCTCTGGTCACCAGAGGATCCAACTGCCCACCATTTGGAGAAAGACCATCTCTGGAAACGAGCCTCTCTGCATCACATTCTTGCACAGACCTCACCATCCCAAATCCTCTCCCACCGTGAGCCAGGGGACCCCCAGCCTCTTCAATTTCTCCTGTTAGCCAGCCACTAGAGCAGCAATTTCCTGAACCCCATCATCGAGTGACTGATCCTCCTCTGCCTCATCCAACAGCCCGTCCCCCTCCTTCCCCCTCACTGTGGCGGGCTCCTCCACCCCTTTCCTCACCTCCCATCCTCGCCTCCTTGTCTACAAACAGCTCGACGGCCAGGCCAGTGTCACCCGTGTCCTTCCTCCAGATTCAGTGCTGACCTCTGACCTGAGCTCCTTCAGGACCTCTCCTGACTACAGGTGGGCACTTTTCTTGGACATGCTTTGCAAATTCACACTCAAAATAAACTATTAAAAAAAAAAAGATTCCTCTCCTCCACCTTCAAGCTGCTCTCCTTTCCCCTTTTCCAGTGCTCCATCATTCTTACAATTACCCACACTTAAAACCTGACTCTGTGCTGATTATTTTCTTCTTTGAGTACACAGACAGTCTGACCAGGTTCAATCAATCCTCCTCTCAGCATACATCCTGATTCCAAACTTCCTCTCCCCTCCAACCGTACCGCCACCATCCTGGCCTCCGCCCCCTGGAGCCAGAAGAATCCTCCATGGGCCTCCCCAACAGCAGCCCTTTCACCCTGCAATGGATCTTACATGGTGACAGGTGGTGTGAACACAAGTGTCACGCTGCTGACACACCTCTGCTTCAGAACCACACCTGCCCCTTCCCGACTCCACACCCAGGGCATCGCGCGAACGGCCGCTCCCCCGCTGCACACTCGTGAGGCACCTGTGACCGTGGCCTCTGTGGGTCCCCGCACATACTGACTGCACACTGTGCCCACAGGCCGGCAGTGCCGCACCCCAACTTCCCCCCAAACCCTCCAGGGTCTGGAGGGAAAATGCAGAAGCCCAGCATTCACAGGGACTCCGGAGTCAACCCTCAACACACTCAGGTCTGCACCGTCGTCTAAACAGCCTGTGTGGAGCCTCTTCCCACCTGTAAGGTGAGCCCTGGAGGGGAAATGCGTATTTGACGCTTCCTTTACACCCTTCTCAGTGCTTGGTGTGAGGTAAGCAACTGATAAAACTCTTCTTTAGGGAATATATAAAATAATAGGTTTAAGTGAGTTATCTTTTCTCAAAAGTAGAACTGAGACCAAGACCAAATTCAGTGCCACTGCCCCCAACTCACCAGCCGGATGAGCTGTCGGTCCAGCCACTGGAGCACGTCCGGCCCCTCCTCCGACTCAGCTCGGAACACCCCCAGCCGCGCCATCAGCACTGCCGCCGCCTCCTGGTCAAACGCCGCTTCAATGTGCTTCAGCTGGCTCTGCACGTCTGCCCAACTGACCCAACATCCCAGGGTGAGGGCCGGCTCTCACACTCATACACGCACCTCTTCTTAATCTCTGTTTTTACACACACACACACACACACACACACACACACACACACACGAATACTATTCAGCCACAAAAAAAGGAATTCTATTCCACCATTTCCGACAACACAAATGGACCTAAAGGGTGCTATGCTTACTGAGACAAGTCAGACAGAGAAAGACAAACACTAATACTCTACGTTTTCACTTACATGTGGAATCTAAAAACTGAAACAAATGAATATAACGAAACATAAACAGATTCACAAATAGAGAACAAGCTAGTAGTTACCAGTCAGGAAAGGGAAGAAGGGAGGAGCATAAGAGGTAAAATCTACTGTGTATAAAATAAACTGGTTACAAGGACATACTGTACAGCACAGGGACTAGAGCCAACATTTTATAACTTTAAATGGAGTTACAACCTATAGAAACATGAGGCCACTCTGTTGTACACCTGACTCTAATAGTGTGCTTGGTCACTCAGTCATGTCTGACTCTTTGCGACCCCATGGACTGCAGCCCACCAGGCTCTTCTGTCCATGGGATTCTCCAGGCAAGAATACTGGAGTGGGTTGCCATGCCCTCCTCCAGGAGATCTTCCCAACACAGGGATTGAACCCAGGTCTCTTGCACGGCAGGCAGATTCTTTACCAACTACTTCAAAAAAGCTTTTTTTTTCCCCCAAAACAAAAATGAGGTTGAGGCCTTTATGTACTGACAAGAAAGGTATCCTTGACACATTAACGAGAGAAGCTTATGCGCACCAACACAAAAGCCATCGTGTATATAACGCACACACGTGGTACATGACTGCCCAGAAATGGGACTGTGGACAATGAAGCTAGCATGGTAATTGTACTTCACCTCAGGGGAGGCAGGGAGGCCCACTCTACATAACTATGTGCTGTTTGAATCTTTTACAAGGATGGTATGCTTGTGGGTCACTTATTTGATAAATAAAATAATGAAATATCATTTTTTTTTGGAAATATCATTTTTAAAGAACTTATCCCTACTAAAGAAGAATCTTCTAAGCTGAGTAAGCTGCAATGCTGTCTCCTCCCCCACCCCGTCCCCATCCAGCTCTAATCAAATGAGCCAGCAAGGGCTGGTGAGGACCACACAATCAGTGGATCACAGAGATGAACAACCAGATACTAGATTTCCTCCACAGCAAAGACCAGGGGCTCAGCAGAGAGGAAGCTGGGGTGCTCACTTGCGGGCAACGGTGGTCACACGGATGCGCCGCTGGGTGCTGGAGTGCTGGTAGTGCGTGACGAACTGGATGGCGCCTCGGCCTCCTTGCGGGATCGGGGCGTTGTGCTGCAGGGCAAGAGGCCAGCACCCTGTTACTGTCAGTGCAGGACACCACAGAAGCGGTCACAAAGGCTGCAGGTGCATCCTAAGACGACCAACACCATGGTGACAGCAAGGTTCTCAAGGCGTGTTGAATGTGACACTTAAGATCAAGGCTTTTCACTGTTTATAATTCTTATCTCAAAAACAGAGAACCAGCTGGGGCTCAGTGACAACTTACAGGGGTGGGATGTCAGGGGAGGTGGAAGGGATATTCAAATGGGAGGGGACATGGGTAAACCTATGGCTGATTCATGTTGATGTTTGGTAGAAACCAATACTGTAAAGCAATCATCCTTCAATTACAAATAAATAAATTTTTTAAAAAATTAACTAAAGATAAAAATTAAAAGAATACTGCAGTGGGTTGCTGTTCCCTCCTACAGGGTATCTTCCCGACCCAGGGATCAAAAAAAAACAACCAACCAACAAGAGAACCATATTCAAATAAACACTGAACCCGACTTAATGATATACATGTTGAGGGGTTTAGGGAGGAAAGACACTGGTGACTGTAACTTGCTTCAAAGTCCAGCCAAACAGAAGGAATTGAGGGAAGGCTAGACATGATATTAATTACAGAACCTCAGTGGTGGCTACTGGGGTATTCACTGTACAATTCTACTCATGCTTCTGTATGTCTGAGTTTAAAACAGTAAAGTACTGGAGAAAAACTGACACACTCAGAAATTCATTAACATTATGATGGCTGATAAAAGCCATTCCTCTTCTGATGAAGAGGAACAAACAAAGTGACAAGGGCAATCTCCTGTCTGACTCTGACCAAACCCCCAAAAGAATAAAAAAGATGATGCCAGACTGGTATCAGGCCCAACACAAGCCCAAAGTAGCATCAGCTTCTGGAGAGAGAAACCAGAAACCCCAGTCTGTAATAAACCAGAAAACACAATGCAGAGACATGACTATTCACAAAGAAATCCAGCCCACCTGGTTGACTACTTCAAAGTAGATGCCGAGTGTCGTCGTGGGATCAAGGCCACAGATTTTCCACTGGCTCGTGCCACCAACACCAAGTTCCTAGGGGTGAGAAGAGGAATTAAAAAGAAGTAAGACAAGAGAGATACTACAGTGATTAACTGCTAATGATAAGTACTAACTCTGAGAAGGGCAGGCCCCTTAGACTATCTCACTCCAAACAAAGCTTGAATTTCGGGCATTCCCTGGTACTCCAGTGGCTAGGACTCTGAACTTCCACTGCAGGCGGGCACAAGTTCAAATCCCTGGTCAAGGAACTAATATCCCACATCTGTGCAGCATAGCCAAAAAATAAAGAAAATCTAAATTTCACTAAAAAAAGTAAAACTACAAGTCAGAATAAACTTTAACACTTATTACAGTGCTCCAAAATCAGGCTTTTCAAATGGGCACTCTGATCAGTTTTCATTACATCAGTGAGACGTATCTCTACACAGACACAGATAGTGCAGAACACTGACGTCAACTGAGAGGATCAAGTCAGGGACAGGGAAGAAACACTGCAAGAGAAAAGAACCACCTGCCTAGCTTGAACAATTTGTGTGCTTCCTCCATTGTTACTAGACTAAGAAATAATTACAGAACTTGAGCTGTCAAATATAAATTCTTAACTCAATTCCCTTATGCAAAAGCTACATATAAATTCGTGGTAAGAAAACTGAGATTTTAGCCATGTGAAGGCTACATTATGTTGAACAGCTGAACGGCTCCCCAGTGATAAGAAGTTCACTAAAGTGTGAAGGGTATCACAGCTTTAAGCATAACATTGAGAAGAAAAGCTATAGGTATCATACACCTAGAACCATGAACCAGGGTCTGAGACATACATTCAACACTTCATTAGAATACGGAAAACCATCCTTGGAGAGCAACACAACTGTGCGTAGAGAGAGTCATGACACCTCTCGTACATTTCTCTGAATCCACCCTCAGTGTACAGTGTCAGTTGAGGACAGCTGACATCAGTCCGATCTCTACGGAGCTGGGCCAGGAGCTTGTGTCCCCGGGCACAGAACCAGCATCTGAGGAAGGTGACGCTCAGGCAGGAGAGGGAAGAGTCACAATGAAATCAGGTCACAGCTCGCAGTGCTTCATGAGACTTTCCTGTGAAGATCGTGAGATGGACGAAGGTCTGGGTGTTCACCTTCCCTTTAACTCCTGCTGGGCAGTGAGGCCACCCCCAGGAATGAGGGTGAGCAAATAACCGGGGCCTGCCCACCTCCCTTTCTGGGCTTGCTAACCCTTCTCTCAAATCTCTCCCCTCACTGTCCAACTCCATTTTTAATACGTGAAACTCATTCAAGCTTCAGATCCATGTGGTTCACACGTGGTTCAGAGTACCGTCACACCCAAAACATGCCATGCTGGCCTAAGGATTATTTTAAACTGAAGGTCATTTTTTAAAACCAGACGTAAAAAAATTCTCCATCCTCCTCCTGCCAAGAAGGCAGGAGCTTCTGAAGTAACCAAGGACACGCTAGATGCTCACCAGCCCAGAGGTGGCGTGGGAAGAATGTGTAATGACTCGTGCTTAAAAAACCCTCCTTTTTCATGAGTTTCCCCATCTATCTACATTTCCTCCATCTGTCACTCCTCAGGACCCAAAGTCCCTTTCCTCTGTGTTGTCCCTCTTCTACAGAGTTATTGCTCTTCTGTTAAGAAGTAACATACTCCTCAGTTCTAACCACCCCTTGCAGTTATCCATCACTACAGACATACCTGCTGGGTATAAGTGCCATGCACACATTAACAAAGTTGCTTTTCTCTTGTTAAGTTGTGTTTTGTTAGGTCCCGAACAATGAAATCGACATGGGCAGAGGAAAAAGGACAATTTCTGTTCCTCCCCTATAGCAACAGGGGCTAAGCGTGGTCACAAACCATCCAAAGCCCCACAAGGACTTCTTCTCAGTAATACACAAACTCCTTAAATAAGCATTTACTCCTTAAGTAAGCATCTTCTGATCTGCCTTGATCAGAAGAAAATGGAAAGATGGAACTAGGAGATCACCATTTTACTGAGATTCAAATACACTGACATGCAGGGTTATCAAAGGATAACCTAATGCCATAGGGGAACGGCTGCTGGCAAACAAGATACTCGTGTTGCGCTATCAGCTCATTCAACAGGCTTCCTGCTGAGGCAAAAAGGAAACAGCCCCCGTCTAGCCTCCACTTCACAGCAAATATGACAGAAGACAAGCCAAATGAGAAAACAAACACGCGGAAACCTCGTGACACTCAAGGAGAGAAGATGCTGGCACCTGGCTCTGTCTCAACAGACGTCGTCAAACAAAACAACAGGCCAAAAACCATAAACAAAATGACAGCAAGTCCACTCTAGATCTTAGAAGACTGAGGATATATAATCCCAGAAGCAATGCTGGTTAGAAGGGAAAACAGTTGCAAGGGCACTTGGAGAGAAAGTAGGGACAGAACGTGACCATGTGTTAGATGGTATCAGGAAACTGCTTTCCTAGTCTTGAGAATAGCCTTGTCTTCAGAAGCTGCACGCTGAAACACAGACTCAAGACATCTGCAATGTGTTTTCAAAGGCAAAACAGGATAGCGAATATGGCAAGTAGAGGATATCAGATAGGTAACTCAAATGTGGCCAACACGAGGATAGAGCGATGATCCTGACAAAATGTCCAGGACTGATGACTCTAAATGGTGGGGAAACAGGATTACACTCTTCTCAAACTTCCCAGTGTGTCTGAAAACTGTACTTCCCTCGCCGTTGCCTCCTCCACCCCCATCCACAAGTGTCATGGCTGGTCCCTGCTGGACCCCAGAGCAGCTCATCAGTCTGGACTAATCGACAACACCTACTGAGGCAGATTCTAAGTCTATGGGGAATATTTAGGAACACGGAAGCCTCCCAAGGCCCCGCTGAGAAACAGGAGTACAAGTCCCTTAGTACTTGGTGATGACAAGGGACTCATCAGAGGGGCCTGGGGCAGCAACCCACCTCACCCAGAGGGTTACAGGAAAATTCTCGCAAGTTGTCTTGCCTCTGGCAACTTCAAACTAGCTCTAGGTAGTCACTAGTGAAACGTTCATTGCTGAGGACAGAACTCTGATGTGAAGGGTGAAATCTAGTGTGGGCGACCCTGGTGCTTCCCCTGGGCTGCTCGCTGAATCTTCCTGATAGTACTATATAGTAGGTCCCATCATTTCCTTTATTCCCCAACAGAGACGCTGAGTCCTGGACCTGTGAAGTACCTCGTCCCACCCACCCTCACCCGGAGTCCACACCCACCCCTCCCACCCACCCTTGAGTTGAAGATGATGGTGGGGAAGGACATAAACGTCATCACCCTGCCCAGAGCCAGCCTGGACAGGCCTCGCTGGACCACTGGTGTACCCTTGGTAGCCGCAGTGTGAGCAGAGGAAGCGGGTCACCAGCAAGGACACCTCTCCACCTGGTGAGGCTGAGCTGCTTCCGTGCACTCAAGAACACCAGCATCTGCAGGCACACAGTGTCACCACCACCCAGCCGACTCGAATGGTCTCTGAGAAGTGAGACAAAGGCAGCCCTTCCAATGGCAATAAGCACATGAGTTTCTCTCTCAAGGGCTGTGCTCCATGGAATGGAACGCCTGGTGGTTCTCTGGCACGACCACCCAAGCAGGAGTAGCAGGTCAGGGGGACCTGGGCCTGGCTCCTCCATGTCAGCTCTGACCCCGAGCAGGACAATGAACCTCTGCGAGCCTCAGCTTCCTCCTCTCTGACCATTTAGCTGGATGGACAGAAACACAGAGATGACACTACCCCTCCTCCCCTCTGCACAGACACAAGCCAACAGGTGACATAACAAAAGGTCATCCAGTTTCAACCCACTGAAGCGGCCAAATCTGGGACAGAGGATAGAAAGGTGATGGAGCTTTTCTTACATTTTCTGACACACATGGTCCTTTCACATTCAGAGACACACAGGGTCCGATGGCTCCCGCAACCTTCAGCTCCCTTGAGGTCTGAGACAGAATTACACAAAAGCACACAGTTAACCACTAAGAACCACCCTCTTACAAAGGACACACCTAAAACTTAGAGGAAGAAACGGCAGGGTTATCACTTCACCCAGAGAAAACCCTACAGGGATTCTAGTACACAAAAGCTGCTACACGGTTCTCCATGACTGCTGTGAACCAACCAGAACTTTAATAAAACCCTCCTTGAGAAGCAGCATATCTTTGTTCCAAAGATGATGCCACATGTCCTGCTTTCTCAAAGTCGAAACAACTGTGCACACAGAGGACAGCAATTCCACCAATACTACTACATTCTTTCCAATGCCACGAATCTGCTATAATTAGTTACAACTGTCAGTCAGCAAACATGCTGTCTTGTGTATCTTTAAATATACTTAATTCATGGACTCTGACATAATGGCAAGGCCATACTCGGATTTTTAAATCTGAATTCATGTCAGCAAAGTCCATTCTTCATCTATTTAAATAAACCTCAAACATTTGATGATGTTTTTTGAAGTCTAACCAAGATGATTTACTCATTATTACCAATTCACAAGTAATATTTACGATCGTATTTTCTAATGGTCACTTTGAATGTTTTCTCAGTGACTCAGATCAAGGGTATAGGTCTACAGTCTCTGTGTGGAAAACAAAAAGCCACACTCATGATGCCACCCTATTTAAGAGCACTGGTCGGTCTGCAGGCAGGTATTATGCACGAATCAGTGGTTGAGTGGGTGCTCAGCCTACCACCCGTAATCTAAGGCCTGCTGTCCTAGGACAGGGCAGAACCTGCAGGGAAAGCAGACAACTCTGTGTTTCAAACACTGATAAATACACAGGTCATTCTTGAGAAGCAAAGCAACCAGGGATGGTGGGATCATTTTGCTGGGAACTTCTTCTCTTTAAGTGCCCATGTCCTGCGGGGTGAGGTTTCCCCAAGGCCAACTACTAAATAAGTAGGAACACTATTCTTCCCTTAAATCTTTAGAAATCTATTGTACCTTTACTTCCAAAGTAGCACCAAATGCCATTCGGAAATTTCCATTAAAATCTTTACTAAAAATTCTTTGGAATGTCTGCTTGAAGAGAGAAGTGTTGAAAGAATCTCCCATCACCATGTAGCCTCTAGGAAGAAAAAAGGAAAAAGGAAGTGAACCTTTAGGATGACTGAAAGCCATTCAGAGGCTTCCTGGGTACTGACAAACAATTTAGAGCAAAAAGAAAAAAACAAGCATGTCTATAAAGGTGCTACTGACAATATACTGCTTGCTAATGGTAACAGCCAGTTTAAGCTGTACTCAGGAAAGACATTATTTTTAAAACATGAAACAGAATTCTTTAGAACAGCGCTTGTATCTTGATCACTATGACATATAAACCTACAAGAGACGACAAATACCTCACAGAACTAGACATACACAGAGATTTTTAAAATGAGTGCATGTAAACACTGGTGAAAGGCAAGTCCAGTCCATAATGGAGTTAACTATATAGACTAAGGAAAGTTTCCTGGTTGTAACATTGTGCTGTATTTATGTAAGATGCCAGCACTGGGCTCCAAAATCAGTGCTGATGGTGACTGCAGCCATGAAATTAAAAGATGCTTCCTCCTTAGAAGGAAAGTTACGACCAACCTAAACAACATATTAAAAAGCAGAGACATTACTTTGCCAACAAAGGTCCATCTAGTCAAGGCTATGGCTTTTCCAGTAGTCATGTAGGGATGTAAGAGTTAGACTATAAAGAAAGCTGAGCGCTGAAGAATTGACGCTTTTGAATTGTGGAGTTGGAGAAGACTTTTGAGAGTCCTTTGGACTATAAGGAGATCCAACCAGTCCATCCTAAAGGAGATCAGTACTGAGTGTTCATTGGAAGGACTGATGTTGAAGCTGAAACTCCAATATTGTGGACACCTGATGCAAAGAACTGACTCATTTGAAAAGACCCTGATGCTGGGAAAGATTGAAGGCAGGAGGAGAAGGGGACAACAGAGGATGAGATGGTTGGATGGCATCACCGACTCAATGGACATGAGTTTGGGTAAACTCCGGGAGTTGGTGATGGACAGGGAGGCCTGGTGTGCTGCAGTCCACGGGGTGGCAAAGAGTCGGACACGACTAAGCAACTGAACTGAGCCATTGGGAATTGCTGGATGAAAAGTACGGACAGATCTCTTTGTACTATGTTTGCAATTCCTTGTGAATCTTAATTACTTCAATTAAAAAGTTAAAACAAAAATGATACAATCATCAGCTGCGTGTGCTCAGCTATACCTGGAACACGCTGGGGTTCTCAAACCCTGCACGTCAGAAACTCTCGGCAACTTTTTTTCTCGGCAACTTTAAATACACTGATGCCCAGGCCGCACCCTGTGCTAATTAAATCTGACTTTAGAAACAGGACTCAAATCAAGAGTAGCTTTTAATGTTCATGGGTGATTCTGACGTGCAGCAGCTTCAGACCAGCACTGCACGTCTGTGGATCTCACCAAAATCCCCAGTTTGTTAAAACTGACCACCAGGCTGGAGCCTCAGTCTCTGACTCAGGAGGTCTGGGGTGAGGCCCAAGTGTGCACATTTCTAATCAGCCCCCATGGAGCCCTGAGGTGGCTGGTTGGGCCTCATTCTGCTTTGAGGACCATGCCTCCACAATGCCATCCACCCGAGGTGAGGACTTGTGCTCTCAACCCACCCCTCACTGCACTCTCCAGGCTGTCAGGAAGCCAGGGGAGGGGCTCCTAGTTTCTCTGGCATTCAGACCTATTCCCTACCCTTCTCACAAGGAAATGCTAAAGGCCACACATTTCATGCTTGCCATCTTGCCCGGGTGTCTGAACAACTCTAAGAAGTGAAGTTCCTCTGAAACGACAGGTTCCTAGGGAAGCCTGACCTCCTTCTGATCACAGCTTCTTCCTCTGAGAAGTGCACCACCCTCCCCAACCCAGAAACCGCAGCCCGGAGCCAAACAAATGCTCCTGTGAGCTAGCCTGGGCCCTCCCCACGGTTGTACCCCTCATTTCTCTTTCCTTAGAACCACCAGTCTCACTTTACTCAGGGGCTCACTGTCCACATACCCAGTAAGATTTGGGCAACACTTCATCTCCAGGAGTCCAGTCTGATCAAGGGCACAGGCGTAAATATCAATGCAGTGACCGTTTGCAGCAGTGCGGTTCGCAAGCATCTCATAGTGCTGCGGAGAAAGAAAAACCATTTCATGGAACAGGGACATCCCCCATTAGGTATCCTCAAAGTATTTCGATATTGGAAGCCACACTTTTTTTATATGGATGTCATAAAGGAAACTGTCCTCATGTCCCCTGTGTGATCACATCCATTCTAACCAAGGTCTCAGAACTGGGGCAGATATTTAATGTCAGCGAGATCTGGCAGGTCACCTCAGCAAAGGCAGCCTGCCTGCCACACAGCATGGCCTGGGCAGAGGTCGCTCCTGAGCAGCCGAAGCCCCACCCTGGGTGACTACACTTACAGCCCGTGGCCAGCAGCACCTACCTTGGTTGCCTTTTTCATGAAGCGGGCATTGTCTTTCTCAATGTCATGCCAGGAACGAATAGGAACCTTTAATTCATCTCCAACCACCATGCCAGGTCCCTGAGTGGGGGGTCCCCCAGTGAACAGCATGATCCTGGCTCCCGTGTTTGGAAAAGTGCCCTGTGACAGTGAGTGGCAGCATGTTAGAGACACACAACCAGCCCCAAGCACACTTCCCACAGAGATGCTACAAACACGCGCTCCCTCGGCTGTCATGAATTGTCGTGAACACTGAGGACACTGCAACAAAGAGCAAACGACTCTATATACAAGCAGCTTCTCACTTCCAGTTTGAGGTTCTGGAGAGCTTTCATTAATTTACTGTGATCCCACTGCCCTAATGGTCTTGTGTTTCTCAAGAAAACTTTCTATAATTTTCAAAACACTGAGGGCTCCTTCAGTGTGGACAATAATAATCACTGAAGTACATTCTGATAAACTAACAAAGTCAGCTGACTGGGGTCACAGCTGATTTTTCGGACAAGGTCAAGGAACACACCTTCTGCCAGCAAGCTTGCAAGGTTTGGCAGGGCAGTAAATTCTGAGTTACCTCCAACAGGCCAACAGCAATGGACAAGGCAACACCAGTGGATCGCAAAGGCCTCTTCCCCTGAGGTACAGGCCACGGGTCCCTCTGTAGTTCCCCAAGGAGATCAGTGAGGTTCATGTCAATCTTGTGAATGGGCTGCAGAAACCTGCGTGATTTTGAATGGAAACGTCAAGTCTGATTTAATAAAGTACTCTGGTCCTTGGCCCACGTGACACATAGCTACTGCTCTTCAAAACGAGTATCAGTAGAAAAAACTTGCAGTTTTTTTTTTCTTCAAAGTTGTCTCTTAACTACAAACACAAAAAACTCAAAGCAATTTTATACAGGACAATCTCTTAAAGCCTAACATATAATAATTTGCACCTGTAGTGTGGAAAGAAAATCAATTTCAAACAGGAGCAAATCAGTTTAATTAAAGTTTAAGTGGCAAAAAAAAAAAAAATCCTAAAGACATGCCTAACAGGAACTCAGTTCACGTAAGGTTCACAAGCAGGGATCATCAATCGTTCTGAAGACTCTCTCCATGTTTCTCTTAAACACTTGGAGTCATCAGGGAGAAACACTGGTTTCTCACAGAAGAGGCCGTAACCATCACCTTATGTTGGCCGACTGTTAACCCAGCCCTCAGCTGTTCTAGGAGCACAGCAGGCCATGTGAACTAAGTGCCGAGTCTCAGGTTTGTCTCAGGACAGAAGCCTTTTCAGTGTCCCCAGCTGTACAAAACGGGGCGAGTTCCCTAGTGGCCTAGTGGTTAGGATTCTGGGCTTTCACTGTTGTGGCCCGGGTTCAATACCTGGTTGGGGAACTGAGGTCCCGAAAGCTGCAGTGCTGTCAAAATTAGAAAAAAAGGACAACAGCCGCATGTCTAAGAAGAGGGGAATGACTGTGTGCAGTGCTCTCATAACCTCTATGGTGATACAACTCTAAAAGGAAAAGCATCCTGAGCAAAACTGCCCCAGGATATATGTGTACACATATATTTATATAATTATCTATAAATTTTAAACATACATTGATGTATTATGCTTATTATTAAACATTAAATATTGATTAGGCTTAATCTTTTTTTCCCCTTTAAAAATAAAATACAAGGCCCTCTCGCCGCGCACCACCCCCCCACCCATGGGGCCAGGCTCACCTGCTGGACACGGACGGGCGCTCCTGCGGCTGAGCCGGGCGCACTGGCTGCACGGGCATCGCAGGCTTGGTCAGGCCCAGCATGTCCTACACAAACCAAAAAGACGCATTTCTCATAACACAACAAGAGAATGGCTCCTAATTTTTTCCTTTTTCTTAATGAAACTTTAAGAACTATCCCTGCTCCTGCTTGAGGACAAGCCAGGCACTGACCTGGATCTGCTTGGCAGTGAGGTCCTTCGTCCCCCGGAAGACGTAACTCTTGGAGATCCCCTCGCAGCTGAGTTCGTGAACCTGTACCATCCTCCCAAACGTGATCAAACCCACCAGTGCGTCCGGAGGGAGGAGGCTCAGGGACATCTGCAAGGACTCCTTGAGCGCTTGGAGGTCATCTTCCTCCAGACACGTGTCCACCACATACAGGAAGATCAGAGGGGATGGGGCACCTCGCTGGATGTGGAGAAAAATGGTATAATAGTCAGTGTACAGACAGACGTGACCTGCTCTTTTTAAAACAGGTACGTATTAAATAAAAACTCTTTATTTACGCTTGTCAGGGATAAGAACATCGAAACAAACCTTTCAGTTCAGTTCAGTCGCTCAGTCGTGTCCGACTCTTTGCGACCCCATGAATCGCAGCACGCCAGGCCTCCCCGTCCATAAACTTACCTCATTAAAAGACAGGTTTTATCAAAACCAACTAGATGCAAAGACTATTTGTATCCAACAATTTATTCCACATTTTGAATGCCAGGCCTTGCTTCAGGTCCTGCGATACATCAGCGGACCAAAAGGCCAGAGATCCCTATCTGCCTGAAGAGCTAACTTTTGGGAACAGAGAAGAGGAGCGGGATTGTGCAGGTGGGGCGGGGTGGGGGGCGGAGCTCCACCAGTAACTGGGAGGCTAGGGCAGCCTTGTTAAGAAAGTAACATTACAGATTAAAAAAAAAAAAGTAACCTGTGAGCAAAAAGCTGGAGGGGAGAGAGGGAGCAATGCAGATACAGGGAGAGAGTTCCAGCCTGAGGAGAAGCCAGAACCAAGGCCCAGGGACACGTCTGTGCCCACACACTGAGCAGTCAAGGATCCTGTGGGCCTTGCAGCTATAAATCGTCCATATGGGCAACAGATACAGAAGACAAGAGTATTTCAGAAAAAACTCAATACTTAACACTACTCCTTAAACACATGACAATTACCTGTACCACGTACTCAATTGTAGAAAACTGGGGCATCAATTCAGCAGGCTGGTTCACCTCTGATATGCCTGCGTAAGCTGGAGGAAACTGGAAAGAACAAGACAGAGCAATGTTTCATGAGGGCTGAAAGTTACACTATGTCTTTTATCTTTCATTTATAAAAACTGTAATAGTTTAATGACTATGTATTTATTCTGAAAGTACAAAATGTAGAACATGTTACTAAAGTACAAAAATCTATTAATACTGCCCTATCACACTGGAACATTTTTTAAAATGCAGTTTTCAGATATGTTATAACTTCTAAATAATTAAAACACACACTATTAAAACCATTTCCTAATTGTTGCCTATCAATGAACACCTGAGATTTTAGCTGTCTTATCAATTATCTATGTGGCATCTAAAGCTTTTATTTAGGTTTATTATTCTAGCTGTGATCAATAAAGTAATACATGTTCATTGCAGAGAACCTGGCAAGTACAAGAAATTTCATGGACAGAGGAGCCTGGCAGGCTACAGCCCATGGGGTTACAAAAGTCATACACAACTACATGACTGAACAAAAAAATCTAAGAATAAAGAAACAACCGCCCCTCCACCCCACACACACACACCCCTACACACATTCCCACCACCTGGAGGCAGCCTCTGTCAACATCTTGGTTTCCACACTTAATTAAGCACAGCTGAGATCATCTTGTATGCACAATTTTGCAACCTGCCTTTTGGTGCTTAACATAATGTCATAGATGTCCTCTATTCTCTCTGCAGACATTTTAGATTCATAGCTTGTATGTTGCTTTTCCTTTCCCCCAAGTTAAAAATTGAGGTATGACGCCGTACATACCGATTTTACCATCTTTTTGAGTGTACGGTTCAGAGTCTTAAAGACACTCATAACGTTGCACAACCATCTCCAACATCCATCCCCAGAATTTTTCTCATCTTGTAAAACTGAAACTCTGAACCTGTTAAACAATCTCTGCTTCATCCCCATCCAGCCCCTGGCACCCATCTCTCCACTTTCTGTGTCTATGAATCTGATTACTCCAAGTACCTCATTTAAGGGGGAATCATACTTTTGCCTTTTTAGGACTGGCTTATTTCACTCAGTAATATCAGTAAAGCTCAACTACATTGTAGCGTAAGTCAGAACATCCTTGCATCTTAAGGCTGATTACTATTTCACTAAACACACAACACTTGCTTACCCATTCATCTAGCAGCGGATACTGAAGTCAGGTGAAATGTTTAGCTACTGTGAATAATACTGCTGTAAATAGGAGTGTATATCTACAAGATCCTGTTCTCAGTTCTTTTGGGTATATATCCAGAGGTGGGAAAACTGGATCATTTGGTAAACAACAATAATGATTAGTGACGATGAGCACCTTTTTATGTGCTTATTGGCCATCCGTCTATCATCTTTGGAGAAATGATCTCTTCAAGTCCTTTGGCCATTTCTGAACTGGGCTTCCCTATTGTTGACCATTACAAGTTCTTAAATATTCTGTATATTAATCCCTTAGACTTACAATTTGCAAATGCTTTCACCCACTGTATGAGCTGGCTTTTACTCTGTTGACACTGTCTTTCTGATCCAGTAGAATTTCCACAATTAATAAAATTAAACGGACATCAATTCTGAGTGTAATAGGGTGTAGGAATGTTTTTAAGACTTGCATATACTTCTCAATCGCCCATGAAATCTTGAATGGTGGGACTTCCCTGGTGATCCAGTGGCTAAGACTCCATGTTCCCAATGCAGGGGACCTGGGTTTGATCCCTGGTCAGGGAACCAGATCCCACATGCTGCCACTAAAGATTCTGAATGTTGCAATGAAGAGCTCATGTGCCTCAGCTAAGACTCGGCATAGCCAAAATAAATGAATATTAAAAAAAAAAAAATCTTGAATGGTACCTGCTTCTAATTCCCAAGCTTATACTCAGTTACCAACTGCAGGTTGGTCCTTTATCACTGGACTCAGTGTGCACTGAGCATGAGACTCATAATTATGATCAAATTAAGAATAAGTAGATTATTAGTATCTTAAGGTCTACGAGGACAGTATATATTATGATGAGCATAATTATTTGCTAACTGCTTTACCAACATTTAAAATGCACAATTCAGTGATTTTTAGTAAATGCACACAGAACTGTGCAATAATCATCACAATCCACTTTTAGAACATTTTCTTCATAGGCACAGCTCATGTCAAAGAGAAGTCTCTCATCATTTGGGAGCTCTTAGCTTAATAGCTTAAAAATGCTTAAATCAAAACAAGATAAATACTGATATTTGACCCTAAAAGTTAGAAGGGTCAGAAAATGAAAATCCAGTATCCAATTAAAATAAATTGAAGTCAAATGTAACATAAACATCTTATCTGTTTTCTAGGGTAACATACTCAGTGCTTACAGAGAGCGTACTTAGAAAAAAAAAGAAAGAATTCTATGTCCTCTCCACAGCAAATGACAAAGACACAAATAAAGAAACAGAATGACCATTCAAAAGAAAAATCACGGATGCTCAACATTCAATATTCCCAGGAGAGACCCAAATTCACCTCAATTTTTTCAGCATAGGACAATGAACGGAAACATAAGGAATACTTTTAAAATAACTACGTTCACATACCTGATTTCTCTGGAAACAGAAATTACAGGCCCAAAGCTTTGCTCGATAATCAACCTGACTGTGAGAAAGATAAAATATTACAACCAGGTACTATTTTCATTTTTAACACAGTACTAAGCGGGGGATTTTTGTAGAAACGAACACCTCTGGCATTAATACGTCTCTGGTCAATAATGTGTTTTAAGCTAGAAAACATTTACGTGTAAACTTCAAGCTCAGTTAATCTCAGAGAGATGTGTGTTCCTATGTGGGTGCATCATTGGATGAAGGCATGCAACACCTTCTCTGCCGCTTGAGTTCTGGCTTCTGAGGACACAGAAAGGTTCCTTTAAGCAGCAACAATGAATGGCTACTAAACCCTTTTTTCTCTTTTCTGACTTCCGAGATAATATTTAGAAGTTCATGAGCTATAAAATTTATTTGTTACTTCCTATGGCCCCGTTATCTAAACAGTGTTTATAATTTTCCTAACATCTTTACTGTTCAGATATGTGAAACTACTAAATTTTAGTACTAAAAAGTACATTTTACACAGGAAAAACTCCTCAGACTTGAACCACAACACTTAGCTCACTTGAAGAAGCTGGGCAGGAAGGCTTCTGGGTTGATACACTTCCTAAAACTTGTTGCTTGCCCCATGCTTTCTACATTTACAAAATTAATATCAGGGGCTATCATTTTAAGAGCAGCAGCAAAAAAATAAAAAAATAAAAGAGCAGCAGCATCTTATACATGGGCACATCAAGTAAAAGCAAGGAGAATGAAGTAAAAAAAAGTTCCATTATATAAAAATTTTATGCTTTAAAGAGTATTTAAGACACTCCTCATTTGTTTACAAATTCTTTCAGAGTGCCCACATTTAGCGATCACAGGTCACTATTCCAGGTGCAAAAAAAAAAGTTACACTTAACAATAAAATCTTTTAAGAGCTCAAATTTCTTCTGCCTATTACTTCTTCCTGCTGTATGGGATCACCATATCAGGTAGGTGCGACAAACTGTCTAAAGCATTTGGAATTTTCTGGAAAAAGCTTTAACACCACCAATAAAATCAACGGTTAAACCAAAAATAAACTGCAAACCAGAAGGGAAAAACAACTAGCAATCCTTTCCCTCCACCTCACCCCATAAGTTCTAATTCTATCTGGAGTTATCAGGCCGGGGGGATTCCCACAAGCACTCATTACCTAAGTATTTCACTATTCACTACTCATCTCAGATCTGACATCTTGCCCAAATGAATCACTTCAATAGAATCACGTAAACATCGGAATTTATTGCAGTCATCCTTTTTACTAGTTTTTAAAAGAGCTCATACCAAAGTGGATTGAGAATGGCTTTGCAAGTTGGCCTGCTGCAGAGCACAGGTTCATACTGTACGGGCGGCAGGTCTGGACGTTCTTTTAAAGGAGTGAGAAGACAAGCCAGGGGAACAACCATTCTTGTAGCCTCAAGTCTGCTGGAAGGCCACACATTCCAACTAAAACGCACGCCATCGCGTTCTTCATTCTGCTGAATGAACTCCAGATATGTGGCCATTGTCTTAAAAAAAAAATACAGATAAACTCTTAATTGTATGTGAAATTCCCATTGAACTTCAAAAAAAAAGATGATCACCTAACGCAACATTCTTTAAACACTAAAGTATAAAAGAACTTGTCACTGGAGGATGCCAATGTCTCAATTCTCTCTGACCCCCTAAGGGTCAGTTAACTTCACGGCTACCTTTCCTGTTCCTTTCTCCAATCCTCGTTTCTAGTACTTAAAAAAAAATAAAAGGGGCAGGAGGTTTACAATCTCTTGGTCATCTCTGAACTGCATGCAGTTGAGTAAGAGTCATTTAAATCTCCTCAAACAGCACATTATCAATTCAGTCAAGCAGATTTCAAACCTGTGTTCAAGCTCTGTTTCAGAAGCTGGCTACCTTCCTCCCTGACCCCCTTCCCTCCTGACTCTATTTGAGTAAAACATTGTATTAAAATTTACATTCCAAGTGATCTTGGTTTTGTGCCATTTTCCCTCTTGCGGTTATTAACTACAGAGAAAAGACCTAAATACTGATGCTCAAATGCTATTCACGGAGTTAACAGCCCCCAGTTCTTACCCAAAGTACTTCTTGGGATCACCAGAATTAAAGGCCAGTGGACTACTACGCTACATACACACCTCACCAGCACCTATCTTCTCACCACAGTCGCTTATGCTCATGCCTTGAAAGATTCTAATAAAATCAGCCATTCAGATTATGTACATTTTCCAAACCAAGATAATGCCAATTCTCCTGAGTGCTCTATACATCCTGTTTACATACTAAAATCTAGGCTAACATACAGTCCAGCTATTAAGTAGGATTCAAGGGAACAAAAAGTTCAACAATGGGAAAAAAGGCAAATTAAGGAATCTATTATATAAGTGGCCTCTAGTGCTCATTTATGCAATGCTAAATAATGACTGTCTCCAATTACTTTAAGATGTACCATAAATAATTCAGACAAAGAGAATAATATACAGCTTATATATGTGAATGAATCGATTACTCTGCTACACACAATATAGATCATAGAAATTCCAAATGTCTGTTCCAATTAAATCAAGACATTTGTTATTTCTGGCAAAAGGGGGCAACTGAGGCACTGTATACACAAGAAACACTTCCGCAACCTCCTGGGCAGCAAAAGGTAATTTATGTGGTTATGAAAGCACTCTCTGCAAGCACCTCAGCAGGCTTCATTAAGTGACCATTTTCCTTCTCAAAACATTTCATTAATAGATACTATATCTCCATCCTATGTCCCCAAGCATCTACATATTAAAACCTGCACTGTCCATTTCCCACTGCCTCTCTTCCCCTCATTTCAAGAGCATGGATTCTTAACTCTGGGCTCACAGCCAACAAGGAACTTAACCAGGTCAATAAATCCTCTGAAAGTACATGCAAAACTGTGTGCATGAGCCAACAGTGCATTTTTCTAGAGACGAGTCGACCCCTAACATCGTATTTTCAAAGGGGAAAAGTTTCAGAATGGGTTACTAGCTGAATGGATGAATTATGAAAAAGTAAAACTGTAAAGATCCTGTATATGTGTCTGCCCCCCCCCCAAAAACAAAATCTGTACCATTCATTTCACTTTAAGGGCGTGACTTTTCAGGACACAGCTAAGGCTAAGCAAGGAGTCTGAAGACCTGGGTTCTTAGCTCCGGCTCCCTTACGAAGCGTAAATCATTTAACCTAATTCTCGAGTTCCTCAACTTTAAAATGGACGTTGGATCCTTCCAGGCCCCCCCTCCCCCGAGTCCGAGGGATCCTGCGCCAAAAGCCGGCCCGCCGCCCCAGCTGGCGGGGACCGCGCCACTTTCAACAAACCCTTGGGTCACCGATCCCCTCAGTTCCCCCGCCTGCCGGGAAAAGGCCTCGCCCCAGGAGCAACCCACCTGCCCTCAGAAGAGACTCTTGTCCCAGCCCTCAGCCTCTCATCACCCGTGCTGCCCGCTCACCTGGCCGGAGGAGCTCACCTGGCCGCAGCCTTCCGCAACCACAGCTGCTAAAAGCCGGGATCCGGCTCCCACCAAGTCCACCTCAGCTCTAAGCCGATTGGTCAGCACCCTTGTGCGTCACTCCACGGCGCCGCACGCTAGCCAATCAAACATGGCCTGGGGGCAGGAGAGCGGAAGGAAGACGCTCAGACAGGCTGCGCCGCCATTTGAAACAGGGCAAGCCAGAGGTGCTTCGCGCCTCAAAATCACAATTCCTCAGAACACACGTTTTTCCACGTTCACCTCTAAACCTTTCTGTCGCACGGAACACCGGCGCCTACAGAACTGTTTTCTAGGCGCAACCAGGGCGCCTCAGGAGCTCGCCGCCGTCCAATAAGACGTCCACTCCCTTCAGTGGGAAGTGCCCTCATCACCTTAGTTACCGGGAAGCGAGAACGATGACGTCTGGTCCCGGAAGAGGTCAGGGCGGGCTCCTCGCAGAGGAAACCGAAGTTGGACGGAAGGAAGTGTCGGCACGCACGAGGGGGCGGAGCTAAGGGAGCGTGGGGGTGCGTGCGCGCAGGAGTCGCGTCGGTGAACGGGTGTATAATTACAGGTGTTCTTTGTCCTGTGGGTGTGCCTGTCCTGGTTTGCGCAGGTGCATTACGGCTCTGCGGCGCCTGGCATTAGTGAACAGTTCTCCTCTATCCTTGTCATCCTTCCACGAAAAGGTGAATAATTGGGAGCTGTCGTAGTCAAGCATTTTAAGAGATTAACGAAACTCCTAACGATATAGGACGCAACTTTCTACAACCACCACTACCGTTTGCCCTCTAAGTGGCAAAACGGAGCGCGTTAATCTAATTCAGAGATTCCGCCTCTGTGTAACATAAAAGAATAAGCAAGATTATATAAATTTAAAATTATTCTTAGATCATAGCAAGGTGTCGAAGAGTTAGTTAGCTCAGTTCAGTTCGGTTCAGTCGCTCAGTCGTGTCCGACTCTTTGCGACCCCATGGACTGCAGCACGCCAGGCCTCCCTGTCCATCACCAACTCCTGGAGTTTACCCAAACTAATGTCCATTGAGTCAGTGATGCCATCCAACCATCTCATCCTTTGTCATCCCTTTCTTCTCCCGCCTTCAATCTTTCCCAGCATGAGGGTCTTTTCAAATGAGTCAGTTCTTCACATCAGTTGGCCAAAGTATTGGAGTTTCAGCTTCAACATAGTTCTTCCAATGAACACTCAGGACTGATTTCCTTTAGGATGGACTGGTTGGATCTCCTTGCAGTCCAAGGGACTCTCAAGAGCCTTATCCAATACCAAGTTAATCAAAGTTTTAAATGACCAACGGATCATAGAAATGAGTTTCAAGTTGATGTACTGTGAAGTTACTGTTACTATGAAAAATTTTCAGGAATTCCCTCACTGTCCAATGGTTAGGACTCCCATGATCTCATTGCAGAGGTCTTGGATTCAGTTGCTAGTTGGGGAACTTAGCTTCCACAAGATATGCAAGTTCTATTCCCCTACATAAGCCAATGAGAACAAATCTCCTTTAAGAGATGTATTAATCTGTTAGAACTCTCTAAAATTAGTTGCAGGAAAAAAAGTTGAATAATGGGTCAGTTTTATTGAACAAATTTACAGTTTTCATGTTTCTAAACCATTATGTAAGAGTAATGTTAGGGTTTTTTTTTTTTTAAGTAATTAAAGTGGTGTAACTTTAGGACGTTCAAGTCAATTATTCTCTGAGCAAGGAGACACAATTAAGGTGATACACATTTGTGTTATATTTCACAGTGCAAAAATTTTACCAAGTCCAAGCTCATGCTGTTTGCCCGCACAACAAGCTAATATATCGGGAGACCACTTGTTGTGGCAAAGAATAGAAACTTTATTCTGAAAGCCAGCAGACTGAGTGAGGAGGGGATGTGTTGATTTCTTCTTTCCTGCACCCGTTCACAGGTGGGTCTGGTCAGGATGTTTCCTGTGAACTTAAGAAAGGTATTTTAACTTAACACGCAGGCATGGGAAGCAGAGTTCCTAATCTGGGCCGTTATGGACACTTTAAGCTTATAGACAACTTCCCTTTAGTGATTAACTTGAAGCAAAAGCAGTAGAATACAAAGTTTAAAGTAAAAGAAACAAATCCAGTATTGAGTCAGGTTTATTCTTCTCTCTTACAGAAAGACATAGCTGGTTTTTTTTTTTTAACCAAACATTGGAAAACTATCATTTGCCAAAAAATTTTCTTGAGTTATTTGAACCTGGATTCCTAGTACTAGAAATTTCTGTAAGAAGGATTTTTTTTCAATCTGTCTTATTTAAAGTATTAGAAATGTATTTATTTTTGGAATTCCCTTACTTTAGGAATAGTGAATTTTAGGAATAGTTGATTTATGTGACTGTGTAGTTATCTTGATAAGTGTGGGAAGGAAGAAAATTTCCTCTGTTCTTCTAGGTTCTTCTGGCTGGCTGAAAAATTAAATCAATATGAGACATTAGCAGGAGAAAATGAAACAAAATTTTAATAACATGTATACATGGGAAAGACCAGATTAACTAAGTAACTTATCAAAATGATTGAAACCCTCACCTTAAAAACCATCCTCAGTTCAGTTCAGTTCAGTTGCTCAGTCGTGTCCGACTCTGCGACCCCATGAACCACAGCATGCCAGGCCTCGCTGTCCATCACCAACTCCTGGAGTCCACCCAAACCCATGTCCCTTGAGTTGGTGATGCCATCCAACTATCTCATCCTCCATCGTCCCCTTCTCCTCCTGCCTTCAATCTTTCCCCTTATCAGGTTCTTTTCAAGTGAGTCAGCTCTTTGCCTAAGGTGGCCAAAGTATTGGAGTTTAAGCTTCAACATCAGTCCTACCAATGAACACCCAGGATTGATCTCCCCCAGAATGGACTGGTTGGATCTCCTTGAAGTTCAAGGGACTCTCGAGTCTTTTCCAACACCACAGTTCAAAAGCATCAATTCTTCTGCGCTCAGCTTTCTTTATAGTCCAACTCTCACATACATACATAACCACTGGAAAAACCATAGCCTTGACTAGATGGACCTTTGTTGACAGAATAATGTCTCTACTTTTTAATATGCTGTCATGGTTGGTCATAACGTTCCTTCCAAGGAGTAAGCGTCTTTTAATTTCATGGCTGCAGTCACCATCTGCAGTGATTTTGGAGCCTAGAAAAATAAAGTCAGTCACTGTTTCCACTGTTTCCCCATCTATTTGCCATGAAGTGATGGGACCAGATGCCACGATCTTAGTTTTCTGAATGTTGAGCTTTAAGCCAACTTTTTCACTCTCCTCTTTCACTTTCATCAAGAGGCTTTTTAGTTCTTCTTTGCTATCTGCCATAAGGGTGGTGTCATCTGCATATCTGAGGTTATTGATATTTCTCCCGGCAATCTTGATTCCAGCTTGTGCTTCTTCCAGCCCAGCGTTTCTCATGATGTACTCTGCATATAAGTTAAATAAGCAGGGTGACAATATACAGCCTTGACGTACTCCTTTTCCTATTTGGAACCAGTCTGTTGTTCCATGTCCAGTTCTAACTGTTGCTTCCTGACCTGCATACAGGTTTCTCAAGAGGCAGGTCAGGTGGTCTGGTATTCCCATCTCTTCAGAATTTTCCACAGTTTATTGTGATCCACATGGTCAAAGGCCTTGGCATAGTCAATAAAGCAGAAATAGATGTATTTTTTGAACTCTCAACTAAAGACTAAAGAGGATATTGAGGGTGAGGAGTGAGTTATCAGAGGTCACACAGTAAATAAGGGCAATGTGGTTGGGCAGATTAAACTCACTGCCTTCTTCATTCATAATTTTCTAGAGATGTGGTCGTCCTCTTCCTAATACCAGGAGGGAGACAACCTACAAATGGAGATTCTTCTTACAAATATAACTGTTTCTTACAAAAGGATAATTCCTACTGGCTAAAAGTTTTTTCCAAGTCTGCTGTTTCTTAGAAAATAATCAGCTTAAAATAATTAATACACCAAGAGACATATTTGGGGGAGGCAAATTCTATTCCCCTATGTAAGCCAATGAGAACAAAACTCCTTGAAGAAATGTAGTAAGCTAATTTGTCTCTAAAGTTGGTAAACCATTTCACTCACAACAAAAGGTGAAGACCTTTCTTTTTCAAAATATTAATTTATTTATTTCATTTTTGGTTGCACTGGGTCTTCATGCTGTGCCTGGGCTTTCTCTAGTTGCAATGAATGTGGGCTATTCTCTAGTTGTGGGGCACAGGCTTCTCTTGTTGCAGGGCACAGGCTCTAGGTGCATGGGCTTCAGTAGTTGGGGCTGGCGCACTGGCGCATAGTAGGTGTGCTGCACTGGCTCAGTCGCTCCATGCCACATGGAATCTTCTTGAGCCAGGGATTGAGCCTATGTCCCGTGCATTGGCAGGTGGGCTCTTATCCACTGAAACACCAGGGAAGTCCCAACACCTTTCTTGGTTACAGCCATGAAGACATAGAGAGGAACAGAATGTAAAATAAAGAATGTTGTCTGCCATCCAGTTCTACAAGGATCAGTCATGAGCCACTACAGCCTCTGACCTACAGTACACCCTGAGAAGAATTCAGTACAAAACTCAGGATGAAACATTAACTGTTTTGGATATACAGGCCCCTAGACAGGCTAGTGAACACAAGTTAATGTGCTTGATACACAGTTAGGCCAAACAATAGTGAAACATCAGAGTCCGGAGTAAAGTTTATTGAAGGCCATACAAGGTAATGAGTGGCTCATGCCCCCCTCAAAACCCAGAACTCCCAAAGGGTTTCAGCAAAGCATTTTTTTTTAGCTTTTCTTTTTTTAAAATTAACTAGTCTTTGGGCCCTAATTCTTTTTCCCCCCATGCCCCTGCTACTATTGACTGTTATTGGCTGATACTGACTATTCTACTAAGAACCATGTTGAAATCAGGAATCCTCAACTAATAAAATGGGTTGTGTTCTGCTTTTAGGAAATGAAAACACATTTTCTATAGAAATATTAGTAATTTTAGGTAAGAGATAACACATTCTTGGCATACCACACTCTGTTCCAAATAAGGGGGGTTGGGGGAATGAGAGCGCTAGTGGTTTACATCTGCTGGAACCCCGCAAGGTCTGCCTGCGCTTCTAGAGCAGCAGGTGGACCAGTGGCTCACAGGGGTACGCGCTTGCCACCCCGGAACTACAATTCCCAGAATGCCACGGGGCAGGCTTCCCTGGTTGATCAGGCTCCCCTGAGCACCGCAGGTCTGCTGCACTCAGGCTGCTCCCTGCAAGGCGGTGATCGTCCCGGGGAATGGGGGCGAGGATGTGGCCACCCACGGGTGGTACGGCTGGGTGAAGAGGGAGCTGGAGCAGGTAGGAGACGCGCCGAGCTGCGCTGGGAGCGCCGGCTTGACGCCGC